GTTACAAACAATACGAGAGTGCAGATATAAGTCAACGGATGTGATGGCATGCCATTCCGTGCCATGACCGCTATGTCCTTGTAGGTTTAAGACATGAAAAAGTGCGAACATACCGTTATGACAAGTATAGAGTCCGGGCGAGTGTTAGCGCCCGCAGCAGCACACACTTTCACCACTCAGCTATAAGTACACAATGACGAACAGCCCTAAGTTTTAAGAAGGGTTCGCCCACCAAGACTGCAGGGCGTTACTCACTTGCTGCTCCACAAAGGAAAAACGAAAAAAACGCTTACACTGGATCGGGGCAGGGAGGGGCGCAGAGAAACTCCCACACGCGTTATAACAACTTGTTTCCTTCGTTCAGCCCATCAGAGAAATACGAAGCAGGCGGAATAACAAACCCTAGAAGCAGGTAAAAAAAGAGGAGGTGTGTGTGCGTGGGGGAGTTGGGTATACACCACATTCAGGGTAAAGCAGAGCAATGCAGAGGGGGGTGGGCAGCGCACACCAATGTAGGGTATATCTCATAGAAATGAAACAAGGATAAGAAGCAGCTCTCCTCGAGAGCGGAGCCCAAGCTTTACTTCAGCACGAAATACAGCGCAACCAAGTAGCAAAGAGGGTCGGTAAGTCAATATCACCACAACCTAGGAGTCATACTGGTACACAAACAACAAATGAATATTCAAGCACATCACAAAAAAAAAAACTTGGACACGCCTTGCACCTCAATGCTTAGTCAATACCGTCAACAATCAAACATGAGAAAACCTCGCTTGCGTCGATAACGCTTTGCGACAGCTGCTGTATCGTTACCAAAGACATACATCAGACTAAGAAACTCAGCATCTGTGCCACCATGAATAACAAGAGAACTGTTCCGCGGCACACCATTAGGATCCTTTAGGTCAAGCATATGGAAACGGCACCTTTGCTCTTTGACAAGAACCAGATGCGCATACTGCTGCTCGTGGATCACACGCCCAATCATTACATCCTCATGTTGCATGTTGTAAAGGCGATAATCCTTCTCTCTCTCTTTGCTGTACGGCAAGCGCACCAGCCGTCGCACAGGCTCAAACAACACAAGCTGCTGCACCACATCCCTCGAAAGAGTGTAGAACATTCCAGCAAAGTATTGAAATCTGTGAGTAACTTTCCCTTTGTGTAAAACTTCGGCAAAAGGAACTCCCCAATACACACCGCGGCGAGGCAGTGAGCGCAGGTCGGCGAGGTACTGCGGCACGCGCAGGAACGTGTCGTCGTCTCCCTTCGCGAAGTATGTCGCAGTAGGGAACAGCCGCAGCGCCATGTCGAACCACAGGAACACCTTGCGGCTCAGCCCGATCTCAGCCTCATTGCCCCAGCTGAGGCCACCACCAATCGTCTTGTTGGTCGATGGGCGCCCCTCATTTACCGGCAGCGCAATCACATCGTGCCAATCCGCCGCCTCACGCTGCAGCGCCAAAGAGTACGTGAAGTTATGCGACGGGTGCCGCCCAAACACGTACAGCACCAGCATCGCACCGGTGAAGTTGTTTGCTCTCGTCGCCACACCAGGAAACCGCCAGCACGACTTACGCTGCAGGATGCGAAGCCTCCGCCTCACATCCATCTCGATGGACGGGATGGCAAGCACAATGAGGAAGTCACGCTTCTTCCAAGTGCGCACAACACTGCGTGGGACGTACTGCAGGGACTCACTGTCAAACAGGGCGTGTGCGCTGCGATGAGTCGTCACAGTGCCTGTGGTATGTGCGCCGTGAGGAAGTTCATCAGGCTGAAGCAAACTAATGACATCCAAACATTGGAATCCCGTGATGACCATGAGAAGGATGACACAACAAACACAAATACAAATCGTATTCTGTAGGCAACGGTGTGCCATGACCGATGGGAGCTACTATAAAGAGAGGATTTGCGGGGAAAAAGAAGAGACACCAGTACAAAGCACAAAGAGCAGTGAGAGAGGCAGGTGAATGCCGCGAGGAGGACAAGAAGCAGCAGAAAGTCACGTAGAGAACACATCAGTCACAGCATCAAGCTGAAGTGAAACACAGCGCCGTCAAGGGAGAAAAGAGGCGGATGAGGACAAACAACATAGTAAAGCAATCATGTATGTTAATATAAAAGCAAAGCACAGTATAGAAGCAAAAGGGACATTTAAGAATAAACGAGAACAAACCGCCGGTTAGAAAAGCATAAATTAAAAGAATGCTCCGATGGTGTCGCTTATTATCTTTTAGCGATGCAATCTGATTACTCCCTGCCTTCGTCGCTTCCACACACTCTTTCTGTAAGATGTGTCGTTACAAAACATGTGCATCAGAGTCAGGTAGTCAGCTTCTCGCGAGAGATGAAGAACCAGCGATATAGGCCTTACAACAAAGCGGCCACTACTACTACGAGCAAAATGGAAACGGCGCCAACTATCTTCCACAACCACCAGTGCTGGGTATTGCACCTCCAGCCGTAGTATCTGCCCCACCATCACATCCTCAGCAGTCATGCTGTACTGGAAAAACTGCTCCTCTCTCTCTTTGCTGTACGACAAATGCGCCAGCCGTCGCACAGGCTCAAACGACACAAACTGCGGCACCACATCCATTGCAAGAGTGTACATTATTTCATTAAAGAAATCACATTTGTGCGTAACGTTCCCTTTTAAAATAATACCATCACAAGGAACTCCCCAATACACCCC